GCTCGTGGGGAAGGGGGCACATTTACTGGCATAGGTCTATGGAGTGGAACGAGTTTTCAGCATCCATCTTGCAACTGACTCCCTTTCTCTTCGCTCAACATGTGCGCTGAAGGCTGGGACAAGAGCTGGCCTTGGGCAGAAGGGAATGATGGGAATGTTGTGTTGCTCCTAATTTTGGGAATGAATTTTTGTCTGTCATTTTCCTTCTCTTACATATTCCCAAAGGGTTGCCCTTTTGTGCGGGTTTCTGGGAGCCTTCTGCCTGACCACATGCTCCACGGACACTGATAGCTCCTATACCTCTGGGGCTGTAGAAGGATGCAAAGGGTGGGTGAAGGTCATGGAGGGCGGCCATTCCTAAATTTGGCTCTGTAACTACTCGCTCCCTCCCGGGGAGCTTGAAAAGCTTCAAATTCCAGGCTCCACTTCTGGAAGTTGTGGTTTTAGTATCCTGAAGTTCTGGGAACTGATGTTGTCTTTGAAACGGTCAGTGAGCACTAATGGGCTTGGGAGCTTCCTACTGGCACCTCCTCTAGCTCTAAGTAGGAGCACTTTAAACCTTCCAAGTGTGGAGAGAATTACGGATGTTGACACCGGAACCACATTGCCACCTTTGACCTTTGTTGTCTTTTCAGGTCATTCTAAGGGCACAAACTCTAAGCCCTTTTCTGGTTCCTGTACCAGAAAACCTTCCATTTGAGCCAGGTGTGAGGAATGGAAGTCCCTAGGCTTTCCGAGTTCTGGGGTCAGGTCTGGTGACAAGCCTGTCTCAGAGGGTTCCTGAGGGATCACACAAGGCTTTGTGTGGCCTCCTGTGCTGTGTCCTGACATGCTCTGGGAGTCCAGGCAGCTTTCCCACCGGCATGAGGTGATAAGGTCAGACCGCAAAGGATCCATACTGGAAAGCGGATGGCGTGAAGGTGGTGGGCTAGAAGACACAGGCACCGGAAAGAAAATATACTTAGTTACCCTCCTTTTATCATTGTGTCTAAACCAAGCTTCAGAAAGAAGAGTTAGGGACTCGTGTCTAAGGCAGGGATGGATGCCTTTGAGCTCTTGGGTGTTTTGAAATGCAGTTTCTGGAGGCTGAGGGCGCACAGCCAGGTCAGCTGGGAGGGTATGTCAGCTGCCTCCTGGTGAGAAATTGGAATAAGACCTGGAAGATTTCCACGGTTCATGCATGTGGTGTGTGTGTGTGTGTGTGTGTGTGTGTGTGTGTGTGTGTGTGTGTGTGTGAGAAGCTGAGGTGGGGGAAACAGTCCAACCTTTTGTTTCTGGATAATTTAAACAGGGCCATAAAGAGAGCTTCATGTCTGCAACAGTGCCTTTTATGAACAATAGTTTCCATTTATTTAGTAATGACCTTGGCGCTCTTGTAAGAACAGCGCATTTCTCAATCTGTCCTGGCTCTGCTGAGGAGCGGTCACACTTCCTGTCTCTTTAATCTCTTCTTCCATCTGGGCAGCTCGGGACTCTGCGGAAGACACCTGTTTTCTCGGCTGTTATTTCAGGCCTCTGCGGGTCCTGACTGTTCCTAAGGAACAAGGGGATGGAGGGAGAGGTCTGTCTTCAGAGACAGAAATGCTGATTTGTCGTTGAAAGACCATGGTACCTCAGAGCCTGATTCGGAATTCCCAAGTGAGGCTGGCCGTTGATAATGTGCTTTTATTCTCAGGAAAATTGACATGAGCTCATTCCTTAAAAATGGAATTCATGGAAAACGGAAAGGGAGATTTTTTTAAACAATTAAAGTCAATCTCAGAAAAAAGGAGACACACACAGAGTTGGGAGAGAAAAATATTTACTTTAGAAAAAGCCTCTGTGTCTTTAAGAATCTAACACTCATTTCAGAGGATTGCCGTGGTTGGGCCCATCAGTGGACATTGCCGTGGTTGGGCCCATCAGTGGACTTCTTGACAGAGACAGTGAGTCTTAAGTGAACAAGGGAACAGCGATGTTTTAACTGATCATATCCCATGGTCATGGTATGTGAGCTCTGCCTCTCACAGGTCTGAGGACAGGGCGATTTTGTGCTAGTTTTCTGGCTTTTTCTCAATCCTTATGTGACAGTTTGGCAGAGATTACTCATGCAATGGTCTTATGCAGCCTTCAGGACGGGATTACTGGTTGCATCAGCCTTTCTTGGCCACGCAATTCATGTCCCAGCATTGGCAATTTTCATCTAGGCAACTTTCCACAGAGTCTCAGTGGCCAGTACCTCCCATTTCACATCAAAAAAGAGGCCCATGGACACGGATGCCTTTTAGGCACTCAGAACACCACACTGTGTCATTGCAGAAATCACTGTGGCGTGGGTCTGGGGGACAGCAGAGAGTTGGTACAGGAAACACTAGAACAAATGGCATCTTGTGTACGTGAAGATTTACATGAAAAAGAGTTAAGAATGTTTAGTCAAGCAGAATTAAAATGAAAGGCTCTTAAAATAGCAATAACAAAACAAGCTAGGCATGGTAGCATATGCTTGTAATCCCAGAACTCCTGTAATCCCAGAAAGCCAAAATCTCCCCCAAAGTCCTGTTTGTGGGTAACTAAGTACTTCAGGGGGAGACCTCACCCCAAAGGAGTGGTGAAAAGTGACAGAAGAGGATACCTGACACTCTCTTCTGGTTTCCATATGTGTACACGGGTGTGCACATATACACACTGTGGTGGTTTGAATAAGAACGCGCCCATAGGCTCATGTGTTTGAATGCTTAGTCATCAGGGAGTGGCACTATTTGAAAGGATTAGGATGTGTGGCCTTGTCGGAGGAAGTGTGTCACCGTTGGGGTGGGCTTTGAGGTCTCCTATGACCAAGATACACCTAGTGTCTCAGTTCACTTCCTGCTGCCTGCAGATCAAGATATAGAACTCTCAGCTCCTTCTCTGGCACCATGTCTGTCTGTCTGCCTGCCGCCATGTCCCGCCATGATGATAATGGTCTGAACCTCTGAACTGTAAGGGAGCCACCCCAATGAAATGGTTTCCTTTATAAGAGTTGGCGTGGTCATGGTGTCTCTTCCCAGCAATAGAAACCCTAACTAAGACAGTGTCTTCTCACAGCAATAGAACAACTGACTAAGACACTCACATAGCCACACACATAAATAGAAAATAAATCTTCTAAAATATCTGCTGTCTTAACCAAGGAAAGTAGATGTTCATAAGTACTTCGTCACCCACAAATGAGACTTTTGGGGAGTACTGTATTCTTCACAGATATCCTTGCTTATATAATGATGATTAACCACAGTAATAGCAACTTTCCAGACTCTTTAAATAGTATTGATAAGAAAATATTCTAAGGGTGGGTTATCTGTTGTCTGTTGCTCAAATCTTTAATGGCCTTTCTAATAAAAAAAAAACCCAGAGCCAAATATTGGGATAAATACTGAAAGATCAGAGAGACAAAGGAACCAGCCACTACCATGTCTCACCTCGCCAACTCCATGAATCCTCTGACTGAATGTCTCTGAGTCCTCAGTCGAAAGCTCTCCCACAGAAAAACTTTAGTTCCTGTCTCCTCAAGCCTTATATACCTTCCTCTGGCCAGCCATATCACTTCCTTCTTTGTGCTGGGATTAAAGGCCTGTGTGCTTCCCAAGCAAAGGCATGAGATCTCAAGTGCTGGGATTAGAGGTGTATGATTTCCAAGTACTAGGGTTAAAGATGTGTGCCACCACTGCCTGGCTCTGTTTCTCTCCTAGACTGAGTCAATCTCATGTAACCCAGGGTGGCTTTGAACTCACAGAGATCCAGATGGCTCTGTGCCTCCCAAGTGCTAGGATTAAAGGTGTGTGCCACCACTGCCTGGCCTCTATGTTTAATCTAGTGGCTTGTTCTGTTCTCTGATCTTCAGGCAAAGTTTGTTAGGGTACACAATATATCACCACAGTTGTCTACCCACCCGGACATGTCTGGAAGGAACTGCCCTGCTGCTTGTTAGGGACATCTACCGATCAGAGCCACAGTTTTGTCTGCATCTTGAGGATTCAAGAACCAAGCATCCATGGCTAAGTACTTACTTAGTTTCTGGCACTGTGCTAGGAATTGAGGCTTCAAAGACGAATCAAGCATCACCTAAAATGGCACCTCTCTTTGACATCTATGTCCAAAGACCCTGTATATCCTCGTGGGACATTTCCATTCGTGTAGGTGGGGCACTTACCACCTATCACCATGATCTGACCTTGGGCTTGTCCCATCCAGGTGACGGCGACTTTCCCTTTGGCAGTCCCTAAAGACACAGTTCATGGAATGAGTGAACAGTGAGCAAGCTGAAGCTCGTAAAAGATGGTTGTGTCTGTTACACAGAGAACAGAAAGACTGGGAAGGGAAGGGAAGGGCTCAGACGCATCAGAACAGGGAGGAGAAATGATGGTTTTTAGATGGACAAGATGTTTGTTACCTCCACCTGTGTTCAGATTCTGTCCCTGAATGTGGCCACCACTTGTCCCCCTCCCTATAGAGCTGATTCTTGTAGAAAGGCAGCTCCTAAGTCACTTTAAAATAGAGGAAGGATTCCTGAACGGCTAAAACTAGAATGAACAGGCTTTGGGAAAGCTGTTGGGTTTCCACGTTCTGAGATCTTATGGTAAACGACTTGACTATTCTATTTCTTTTAAGATTTTTACCTTCCCCACTGCAAAAAAAAAATCTGATATTTAATATTTACTTCCTAAAATGCAAAAAATTATTTAAAGAACTCAAATAGACATTATTTTTTTGTTCAAGACTCTGATCTCAGAGTCAGCAGCTAGCTGTGGGTGCCTGTCCTCTTGTTCCTCCATAGCAACGGAGCTCCAGGCTTGTGTTTGGCAATGAGGTCCTGAAGATGAAGATGGTATTTCCCAGTTTTCTTCCCAGCCCTGTTGGGCTGCAGCGTTCTGGTTAATGGAGGTTAGGAGACTGGTTGAGCCTGAATTACGGGGGAGGTCCTTGCAGGAAGGGGCGTGTCTCCTCTTCACCTTTCTTTTCTTCTTCCTGTTGGCTGGCGTGTAGATAGATGTGACGACTCCACCTGCTGTCTGGCGTGGGGCATGAGATGACTTTGTGAATCTAAGCTGCACAGAAGGGGAACATCAAGGTGAGAAGCACAGTTCCCTAGGAGCATGGCATCCTATTCCAGCGGTGAACCAACAAATCCCTGTATTTTCTTAAAGGTTAGCATGTAGCTAATCGGCTTAAGCTATACTTGTTTGGATTATATTGTTATTCACAGATGAACGTAATTTTAACACATACAGCAACTATGACTTTGGGGGAATAGCCTGACGATTTCTCCCAGTTTGGCTGATTACAAGTCTGTTTCTGAGGGGGGTGGGTGGTGGCTATGTGAAGCTACCTTGAAACCAACCCTTCTCCTGGGAACTTGGCTGGTGGTATAGTGTCAGCTGGAGGCTTGAGTCTGGCCGGAAGTGTGTGGCTTAGATCTGATGAGGCTTTTCTGGCAGGGAGGAACACGGTATAGAAAGAAGGTGCGTCTGAAGTCAGAGGGACTTGGGCTGCATGCAATACTGAATCTGTCGATGATTTGGGCTTTGGCTGTTGATTTCTGTGTTTGTTGGAATCAGTAAGCATTGAAAGCCTGTCTGTGACTGAAGTGTAACAGACAGACTGTTGCTATTATAGTTAAAGTACTATCTACTAGTACCTAATGTACTAGTATATACATATATATATATATATACCAGCCAAAGTGTATAAAGTTCTTACTTATGATTAAGAGGAACATGCACAGTGAGTGCTAGCTACATGAACCCCCATCAAGGGAAACATAAGAGAATCACAAATCAAAACCTTACCTTAAAGTTTTCTTTTAATAGTCAAGATATTTTGGCTCAACAATAAGTATAAATAAATGTATTGGTTTAAGGTTTATTTTTTATTTTTTAAAGACAGGGTTTCTCTGTGTAGCTTTAGCTGTCCTGGAACTCTGTAGACCAGGCTGGCCTTGAAACCAAAGATCCACCTGTCTCTGCCTCCACCCTCTGAATGCTGAATGCTGGGATCAAAGGCATCTGTCACCACACACGGGTAAGAGGTTAAGATTCTTAATTGCAGAAAACAGACCTAAGAATGCTAATTTTAATAGGAGGGAATTTGTTGCAGGGTTTAGACACTTCTGGAATTTCCAGGAAGACCCAAGAAGCAGAACTGAAGATATGCAGCCCAGAGCAGTGCAGTTCAGAGCGGCTCCAGCTATATCAGATAATCACTGGTTTGATGAAAAGTCTACTCAAGCCCTGTCCCCCACTTGGCACCTATGAGCAAGGGCCCTGAGACTCAGCCACGGCTCTGACGGAGAACAGAGCCTTGGGCAGCCTCACTGATAGGTTTTCTTGTGTCACTCCCCTCCCCCCCCCCCGCCCCCCACGGCTGAAGTCTTGTGTGACACCCAGTAGACACTTGCAACACACCAAGGACAAGGACATGCAGCCTGGTAGCTTTCTAGACAATAGGACCCAGATGTCTTCCTGCATCAGTGAGGCTGCCAATCATCGTGACAACTTCCGGGAGGAAGGGTTTGTTTGGGAATCACACTTCAGGGGTGTCATTCCATCATGGCAATGAAGGTGTGTGTGGTAGAGCAGAGCAGGTCTCCAACAGCAGACAGAAGCAGGGAGGGGGAGGAGGAGTGAAGAGGGGAGGGGGGAGAGGAGAGAGGGAGAGGGATAATGCCTGCAATGATTGTTTTTTCCTTCTTGTTTTTAGTTCAGTGGGGGTGCTGATTACATTTGGGGGGGCTCTTCCCAGTTGGTTAATCTTCTTCGAACATGTCCCTCCAGTTACACCTAGAGGTGTGCTTTACCAATCAAGAGGACAGTTAAGTTGAGCCATCACAGTCAGTCTGGCGTACTCACAATTCAGAGCCCGATACGAGGACTTGGCTGTGGGTAGCGTATTCTGTGAAGTGATCCCAGGAAACAGGAATTGCGAATAAGGAGGAACTTTAAGCCAGAGATGCTGTATTTTAAAAAATATTTATTTTATTTTTAATAATGTGTACGTGTGTATGTCTGGGGGTGGGTAGGGGCATGTGCTCATGAGTGCAGGTGCCCTTGAAGGCCAAAGGTATCGGATCCACTGGATCTGGAGTTACAAGCAGCTGTGAGCTACCTGCTCAGCCTGGGTGATAGGAACCAAACTTGGATTCTCTGAAAGAGCAGTACATATTCTTACCGCTGTGCCATGTCTCTAGCCCCCAGGATGACGATATTAATTTGTATCTGACACACTTAGGTTTTCCCACCATCAATGGAAGAGGGTTTTTTTTTTTTTTTAAGATTTATAATCTTAATCATTGAAGGGGAGGGTGAAAGAAAAGGAAATGGCAAAGAAGATTAAGACCCCTACACATCATCTTCAGAGTCACAGAGCTTGTCATTTGCAAGTTCCTTTCAGTGGATCTTAGGGTCCAGATCTGCCTTGGTCTTTCTGGGTACTGGCACTGCTAATTCTTTGTCTGGTTCTGTCCTCCAGAGGGACTTGGCCACCCCAGCTGCTTCCAATTCTCTGGGTTCTTAAAAACCAGCAACCAGTACGTCTTATTTATCATCTCTATATTTTTGAAATTCATTTTCTTCCTAACCACTAGTGCCTAGCATAATGAGTTATAATAAAATTTAAAAATCTAGAAGGTTTAGAGAATCTCACATATTCCAGAAGTTTTGTTTTGTTTTTTGAGACAGTCTCTCTTTGTAGCCCTGGCTGTCTTGGAACTCATCATGTAGACCAGACTGGCTGAGCCTTGAACTCACGGAGATCAATCTGCTGTGTTCTGAGTCCTTTGCTGGACTGGTAACTGAATTCCTCTGGCGCCTCCCGACTTCACTCCATTCTTGGAGGAGAGAACATTAACCTTCAACTCTCCACCTGAGGCCCTTTTCTCAGGGCAGAATTTAACTCTACAATTACCAGCCATCTGCCATAGGCCTAAGAACACAGTCAGGAAATAGAGATGCATGTCTTTTCCCCCCACATGAAACCTGTAGGCTCAAGGACCTTTAAACCTAGCACTGGCCACACCATCTTAGCTCCTGCTCTGTATCAGAATAGGACTGACCCTCTGATGGGATCAGAGGAGTCTAAGAGTCTGTCGTCAACAGCGTCGGACGCTATGTGGAGGTAGAGAGGTCTGGGAAGGCACCAACATTGGCAGCCATTAGTTAAGACTGTCGGCTCCCGAGAAAGTGACATTACGTAATAGTGCTTGTCCGGCTTTCAGGCAGTACCTGCAAGAATTACCTGAGCCATTAAAAAGTTGTTTGTGCCCAGAGAGCGTTGACAGTAAACCTATAGTAGAGAAAGTATCTCAATTTTTGTGAACAATATATGATGTGTGTGTGTGTGTGTGTTTGTGTTTGTGTGTGTGTAAAACTAAGAACATATCCAAATCAGTGCCCCCGCCCATAGTCACAGAGAAAGAAAGAAATCCATGGAGATTCAGCACAAGTATTTGGGTACTGTCCAAAGTAGAAGCATATGTGCATTGCCATGGTGACACTGTCTCTCCTGGTCAGCTAGAAACTAGCTGCTTTCTTGCTTGAAAGGACTGTTCTACACGGCGAAGCACCTCTTACCACCCTAAGTTCAAGTTTTGAAAGGATGGCACTGTTTCCAAGTTGCCTGCTGAAAGAAAGAGAATACGTGGCAGCTTCATCCAGCTCCCTTCCGCATTCCTTCTGACTGGGGACTGTCAGTATTTTATATACCTCACGAGATGAACAGTGTATGCATTTTTTAAAAAGGGAAAATGGTTTTCTCTTGCTAGACCAGATGCTCAAACAGTGACAGCTATTTGAAAGGGAGTCTATGGTACTTGACGCTAATAAACTATATACTGTGAAAACTTGTAAGGACAAAACACATCCTTCAAATGCAGCTCTCTGGGTAGAACCTAAGACAGAAATGGCCAGGAAGCAAGTGGGAGTGAATCAGGTCGAAGGAACAAGAGGGCTCAATTTAAAGATTGATTTATTTATTATATATAGTGTTCTGTCTGCATATATGCCAGCATATATGGTCAGCAGACCAGAAGAGGACACCAGATCTCATTATAGATGGTTGTGAGCCACCATGTGGTTGCTGGGAATTGAACTCAGGACCTCTGGAAGAAACAGCCAGTATTCTTAACCTCTGAACCATCTCTCCAGCCCAAGAGGGCCAAATTGGAACTGTTGTTAAGGAAAGTTATCTGCAATCTGCAACTATTGAACAGAGGCATACTGTCTGTAATTGTCACACTGTCTTTGATTTAAAAATGACCCACTGGAGATGTTTGGAACAGACTCTTTCCATAAATGAATATGTAGGCATGGAGGGAAAATGGCTAGCCTAAAAACCTCTCAACGAACCCTAAGAAGCGGCGGAAAGTGCGTCCCTTCAAGGTGTCAGAGGAGACAGTAGGATGAGAATGTGTGAAGCTGAGAGGCTCCACCACAGTAAAGCAGGGTTTCACGAACTCCCTGCAGCCTCTGCAGGGGCCAGCAATCCTCTCCTCATCCTGCTTTCCATTGTGCTATATGCTATAGTAGTCCTGCTGGAGTCCCCAGGCATATGTGACGTAAAAATGGGAAAGCACCGGTGACATCTGAGCCTCCCTACCAAAGGTCAAATGACTCTAAGTTTTAGAGAAAGACCACCCAGCGAGTAATTTAATCATCTGGGCTGGAGGCAGAGGGCAAGTGGAGAAAGCTGTTTGTCTTTAATTTGGCGTTAGTGGAAACAGCTGAAGAACCAGATGACTCAGGATGGGCCCTCCTGCAGGTATGGTAGAAGCTGGCGGCAGAGCCAGGATTTTCTCTTTTATGGAGCATCTGAGATGCTACCCCTCTACAGGGCCTGGGCATCAAGCATTATCACAAAGTGAATGTGAACTGGCAGCTTTACCTCCTACCCCATTTACACACAGGTTATATAGGCTAGCAGTGGCTTTCCCACCAGCTTAGACAGTAGAGAGAGGAAGAAACTCCTAAGCTGACTGCAGTTCTGTAGAAATTCCTCTGGGGCTGGAAAGGTGGTTCAGTGGTTAAGAGCACTGGCTGCTTTTACAGAGGACCCTTAGGCAGCTCACAACTGTCTATG